GCACCATCCCGCTTCCAGGGTCCCACAGCATCCCAGCATCCATCCATCCATAGGTGCAGGATGGGGCCAGAAGCCCCCCTTGCCCATCCACCATGGCACCCCCTCCCCCTCCCCATCCTCAGCGCTGTCCCCATTCCAGGTCACCTGTCGAGGTTGAGCTTCTGGGCCAGTGTCCTCCAGTCTGCTCCTCGGGTGCCCGGTGGGTCCAGGCTGCTGATGATCTTCTGGCGGATGAGGAAGGGGATCTTGAAGGCACTGGGGCCCACCAAGGCTGGGGCGCCCACCTCGCTGTCAGGGACCAGCCAGTCCGAAAACCTCGTGTCCTAGGAGAGAGCACCGCAGGGGGTGGGGGATGTGAGCACAGCCTGGGGTCACCCCCAGGAGGCCCCCCCTGGGCCCTGCCCTCACCTTGGCGATGTTGTAGTTGACAGTGAAGCTCTGCCCATCACCCTCCACCTGCCAGACCCAGATCTTGCAGGCCAGCTCGCAGGTGCTGGGGCTCAGGCGCTCCAGGGTGAAGGTGCAGTGCAGGAAGGGCTGCAGCCCGCTCCAGATGTGGTAGAAGGGGATCTCCTGTGATGGGGTGATGGGTTACAGGGGGGTCAGGGTGGCAGGGACACCCCCATCCCCACCTGCCGGCTGGGCTCCTCACCTGGTAGCTGGCGAGCAGCTTGCTCTTCCAGAGGGAGCTGGGCATGTCGTGGATGGAAAGGCGCAGGTTGTGGTAGCTGTCCTTGAAGTGCAGCACCCGGGGGGCTCCGATCAGCTGCCCCCCCAGCTGCTTCTCCAGCTGGATCACCTCCTGACAGCACAGGCAGCAGGTTGGGCAGGAGCTGCTGTGCCCTGGGACCCAGCCCTGCCTGCACAGCCCTCGCCCCAAGCTGCGATGGGGATGGAGGAGGTTGCACGGGCACCCCCCAGTACCTTGAGGACGTCCTGGGTGTCGCTGAGGCAGTAGACGCGGATGTTGTACTCGAGCGAGGGGCAGGCGGCCGGTGCGAACAGGACCAGCTTGAGGCGCTTGGAGGCCGCCATGCTGAGGGACTCCCCGACCAGAGCGAAGCGCCCCAGCTGCTCCGTGAAGATGTAGCACGCCTGCGCTTCCAGCTGGCAGTAGTACAGCTCCGTGCACGGCTCGGCGCCCAGCTGCAGCACGTCCTGCGGCACCCAGGCAGGGATGCACCCCAGGTACGGGCACGCCTCCCCAGCCCCAACCCCCTCGACGTCCCTGCTATGTGCTCACCTCCCACGTGCCCTCGCATGACTGCTTCTTCAGCCGGATGCTCCAGTTCTCACCGCTGGCCTCCACGCAGTGGCCCATGGCCAGGATGGCGGGGCGGGTGAGGAGCACCCCGG